CAAAACTGACCTGCTTTGCTCTTCTGTAGGTAAGTGAATCAACGCTAGGTACAGATGACAGAGAAAACATAAGACACTACAATGATTAAGTAATGATAAGCGATGCTAATTATGACTTTGAATAGGAAACTGTTTCCAACGTCCCAGAAGTCAACCAGACATACTGCTCAAAACACGCAACTAACAGTTCTATGCAAGGTAGCACTGAAGTTACTGTTCGTACATACTGTTTCTTGAAGCCATTGTAAATGACTGAACCGTATCATCTGACATGCCAAACTTTTTAAAAAATTAGTGTACATGGTTCCCAATATCTAAGAATGAAGGTAATTAAGAACCATCTGGACAGCTGGAGGGGACGCCCTTGCAATTCACCCACCAAAGGCGGAGGAGGTCGGCTCCAGCCTTCCCCCACGCTTTGGAGATGCAGGCGCACACGGAAAGCACGGGCCCTTGCAGAGGCTGTGGGGGCCTCGCCGCACAGACAACAGCAGTCCTTTCCTCGTGCCCGTCCCCAGATCGCCAGCAGAATTCAAAAATTCAAATTTAACAGCAGGACAGCGTGACGCTCTCTTCTACCAGGCACGTTTCGATAGGGAGCCCTCGCCCCCAGCCAGTCTCACCTTTGATTTACTGACAGAGGGATGTCAGGGAGGGGTGTCAGCCCTCGCTGGTCAGACTGCATGCAAGACCGCCCTTGCCAAGCATGCCGCGGGCTTGGGAAAGACGGGGTGCAAGAGCTACTACTCCCACAGCACAAGTTAGTTGCATGGGCTTGTAAATCGGTCAAACAAAAGTTACATTTTCATAACACAAAGATAGGAGCGGGAGGGGAGGGGTGTTTAGCTGCTACCTTTCCACATTCAAATTCCCAACTGCTTCAGCTACATCAGCTTTTCCATAAAGCTAATAGGCTTTCCTTAATTTTTAACACTTCTCCAGCTTCACTCCTCAAACTTACAAACTTCTGTAAACCTGTGGGAAAAGAGGGCAGCTGGTAGAATGAAATCCAAGAGATCCCAGTTTTGCAGGTGACAGATAAAGGAATTTAGGAGAGAAGAGTTCACACAACTTTAAATAAACCTGTCACTGTCTAGAGCAGACTCCAGCTTAAAAAGAATGTTCTTATTAAACCTTAGATACGCACGTTGCTAATGTATTTATCCCTCTTCTCCCTACTTTGGGCTAGTAAAGTCTCAAAACAAATCAACAAAAAAAAAAAAAAAGAAAAAAAAAATCCCTGCCATCTATACACCATTTTACATAGCAGTTCTCAGGAACGGGCGTAAGTGAACGGAGGCCCACGGTAAGGAAACGATCCGTGACAAACCCCTTCGGTCCCACCGG